CACTTTGAACGAATTACAAACAGCCACATAATTTTCATCCTTGAGCCACGTCATTTCATAGTATTTCAAACAAACGCCACCATATTATTATCATTATTCAGAAAATATTTTACAAACAGCCATCATGTTTCTTCAAACTACTGTACACAGTCGAGGGAGAAAATAGGATGAAAAATTACATGTGAATTTCGACTATCCACCCCGTCTGGGGTGAATAAACTTATACGCGTTTTTGAGTATCTACCTTAGGGTGGATAAACGGAATAACCCGACTAAACATCAAAATGTAGATTTATGGTCGCTCCTGACCACTAACATGGAATCCCTGCAAGAATAGTAGGAAAAATGCCAAAGAAGACTTCACTATATATAAAATCAGTGTTATTAAGCCGTCATTATAGAGCAAGAAGCGAAGAAATCCGACACATATACATCAATCCTCAAATAAATTCGGAAGCTAACATTCGAAGTCGCCGCGCTCAAAGCTTCCCAGCATCACACCTGTTACCAGCAACAGTACAACCAGCGTAATCAGCAACACCGAAGATCACCTTTTCGTGCAACTGCTATGCAAGTAGAAGTCGAACAAGCTCAACATCAAGATCCCCTTACTGCTACTATCATCGACGTTTCGGGTTCGAGGCAAGAAAATGCACAACACCGTGTATATTCAAAAGTGAAAATACGAATACGTAAAACTAACTAATACGCTCGATGCGACGGGATCCAGCGTAACAGCAAAGTCCTACCGTCTTTTTTTCACCGATAAAAAGAGCAAGCTTACTTTCCTTATCGACACCGGAGCGCAGGTGTCTATGGGCCACAGCATCCATTTACTAACATGTGGGTTGTGTACTCGTTTGTCACCTGTAATTATATAAGAAAACAGTAAGTAATTTTATCATCAGGCTTTCTTAGTAGGGCGAACCTCACCTGAACATGATGTACTCTTTTATTCAACCATCACCAGAGATTTATGGTCGCTCCTGACCACTAACATGGAATGTTTCAGAAATAGTGGTATTACTAAGCCACTTTTAGATAACCACAGTGATGAATTTTGAAACCGCCTTTACATTACAATTAAGGCAGTTAAACTGTTTAACGGTGTTTAATTACGAGTATATCGCTATTTTTAAACCTGTCTACACACAACCACAAATTACTTACTGAACTAAGGGGTGGGCCATTTAAGACTTGGAATTTGAATGAGCTATAAAAAACTAATAATTATTTTATTACAGTTATGAGTCTAGTGGAAAAATTAAACTTTTCTATTTAGGAATGGAAGGCAACATCGTTCAAATGACTGCTTCGGATAGCCTTACAATACCCCATTCAATCAGTCCAATTTTTCAGTACATTTTCGATTGCTTGGGCCTGTATTACGTCAATTGCAACTTCGATTTCATGTTTTATGTCGTCCATCGTGTCTGGATGGTTAGCGTAACACTTGTCTTTAAGGGTCATTCCGTTTATTCACCTTAAGAAATCCACCCTAGGGTAATATTATTAGTTTAACCACCTTAGACGGGGTGGATAATCGGAATTCACTTTTTGATTGTTGTTTCGCCTTTCCACCCCCAATAGAAAATTTATTCATACTTTAACATATATTAATATAATATATAATAAATATAAAGTAAGCTTCCTTGTTTTAAATAATAATAAGTAATTTATAAATTCCGCAATATGTGCAGGAAATTACCAACACTAATTTCATTATTGAGTATATGTAATTTTATATGAATTCGTCTCTCAATAAAAGACATTTTAAAATTTATTAAGTACCGTAATATTTCCAATATTGTGCTTATATGTAAAATTAACAGATAAGCTAATGTCTACACGTCCCACAGCTGGGCTCATTACTAAGAGGGTTTGAAGGCAAGGAAGTTGTCCAATGCGTGTTGGCGAACTTCTCATGGCTTCAAATATTTTTTTATAGAAGTAACAATATATTTATATATTTTAAACACCTACTTCAATAAAATGTAATTGAAATTAATTGTAGTAAAACATTTCTTTCATCATAAGATATCTCCAAAATAATGTAAATGATGTCACATCGAAAGATATGTAGTTTAATAATTAAAAGTATTTCAGTTTTGACCTTTAAACAATAAGTATGTAAGTATTTTTATAACTACGGAAGTATGCTAATGTCTGAAAGTAATCTTAGACCAGTTTCTATCATGTTTTTATAAACGACTATACACAACCGAGGTGGAAAATCGGAAGAAAAATAATATACGAAATCTGATAATCCACCCTGTCTGGGGTGGATAAATAACACGCGATTCCGAGTATCCAACAACAAGGGTGGATTTCTTAGGGTGGATAAACGGAATAACCCGTTTTTAACAGCTCTCCACAGGTCAAACCGCAGCTTCGAGGTGGCCAATTAACATCTGCAATTCGGCTGATTATGTGATTTTCGAAAACAGTGCGGAAAAGATTGATTGTTACGTTGGCTGTGTGGCACGTTGCGGCGTCCTGTTGAAACATAATGTAGACGACATTATGTTTCAACGTCATCCTTTTCAATTTTGGGAAACAAAAATCTCTTATCGTAGCGCGGTAGATATTGAAAATCACTCTACCGGCGTTTCCTTTCGAAGAAAAACGGTCCAGTAATATTGCCAGATCAAAATTCGTACCAGACAGTCATTCGTTGCGGATGCATTGGTTTCTCCAGGATGATGTGTGGATTTTCTGAGCCACAGACATAACAATATCGCTTATAGACGTATCCTCCGAGGTGGAGATACCTCAGTTCATCTGAAAAGACGATTTTTCGGTAAAAATGCTCATCTCCGATCAAGCAGTCTTCGAAGCAGATTGGATGGTCATGAGACTTCAGCTCTTGCTTTAATTGAACTTTGTATTCCTACCGAGATCTTTATGCAAAATTCTTCTCTAATAAGTGCGTGAAAAATTCAATTCTTGTGAATTATAGCGTCTTGATATTGATGGTAGTTCACGCACAATCTGCGCAACAGCAACGATGTTTTCGGTTGAACGCTCCAGTGCGAGTACGAGTACTATTTTTTCCAACAACGACATAGTAAAAACAGAACAGTAGGATATCTCCCAGCCTTAAATGCCTACTGTTACACGGTTGTCACTGTCTTTTGTTTAACAGCTAAGTCTCAAGTAGTTATAATATTGACAAACATAATACATACGGACACGTACCTATGCATCATATTTGTTAATCATTTCTTTAGTTTCCTATTAAAGAACCAATGTTTGTCAAAAAAAAATCCAGCTTTAAATTACACAAATACCAAATAACTAAAACACGAGTAAATTAACACTGAGCATATGTTGTCATCTCAGATTTAATGCTTAAACTTGAATTGGTTTGTTGTAATATGACAATTAATGTACTTATGAGGTATATGTCTATGTATAGATATATTAATATAACCTATAAATTAAAAGCTTATTTACTTAAATAAACACATAATTTTTTTTTTACAAAAAGAGAAAATAAAACGAAAAAAGACTGCTAGCAAAATTTTATTAAAAGTCAACAACGTCTCAAACAAAAGTGATTGCGGAGCGTGTCGGTGGGTGTTCCTGACCCGGCTCGATCTTCCCGACTTAGTAAGTGTCATTGTGTGCGTGCTGTAGCTCGTGCGTACGAATCCGTACTGTCACGTGTCAGGCACGTACACATTAGCGGCATTCGGTTCTTAGGAGATAGCCTACTACTCTGTTTTCATTATGACAATAATCCAGTTTCACGAACTTGCTTTAGAAATTGATCCACAAACCATTGAAGTAATATGTACTTGAGTACTATAACAGCTATTTCTAACAAAAAATGTGATTTTTGTTTACTTATATTTGTTTCTACAAAATGTAATTGTGCTTAATATAATCAACCTATACTTAAGTACCCACAGAAATGTCGCATCTGAACAAATTAATTTCATAATCTATATTCGATGACACGAGATGGCGTCTTAAGAATAATTTGTTTGATTATTAATCTATAATTTTTTTATTCATTATTTTATTCACCAATGAAAAGGTATTCCTTGGTATTTGCTAACATTTTTTGAACTACTTTTGCAATATCAATTACACCATGGCACATTTTATCAAGAGATTTTTTTTTTAAATCAACACGTGTCAACTCACTAGCGCCTAGCGAGTGACTGAGTATTTTCAATTGAATGGAACAGCGTAATTAATGCAGTGTCGCCTCTAGTATGTAGTACATAATAGCTCAATGCCACTAACTACTTTTTTGACACATCATATTTGTCAATTTTTTTTCCAAATTTCTTAGATTGAGTAGAAGACACCGCTTTGGAAATAAGTTTTCGATATTTCACAACTTTGTTCAAGCGAAAAGGAGCCCATTTCATAAATTTCAAACATAACACTTAATTTCTGTCAAATCGAAAATGTCATCAAATCTTTCAACCTCAAAATTACCTATAGTTCCAGTTCCAAACGTTATGGCCCAACCTGTATATATACATCTATTCTCTTTTACTCAAGTAAAGGAAATAAATTAGATTAAGTAGTGAAACATATGGGTTTATTATCTTTACTAAACGTGTCTTATCTACTTTAAAGAAGGTTAGGGGATTATAGAAATTTAAGAAAAATATAAAAAATACCGTTAAGTGAAGCTGAATGTGAGTCATATTAATTACTTATATAGCGACATTTATCGAGTCTATAAGTTGTTGATTCATAACTACATGTATTAATCGTTCTCAACTGATTACGGCTGATATCTTTGTGAATGAGGTCTAATCGATAGAACAGTATCACTTAATTCGTTGAAAGAGTAAGGTAGTGATATTACCACAAATTTATTTACGAACAAACGACAAACTGAATTTAAATGCCTCTATAAATAAATGATAAGCGAAAGAAGCAATAGAATGCATTCCAACGTAAATAAAAATGAAGATGAAACTAAAAATAAGAAAAGAAATAAACCGAATATAATTTCGAGACTCTTTATTTGTTGGATGCTGCCTGTGATATATAAGGGAAACGTAAGAGATGTAGAAGAAAAGGATTTAGTCGTTCCAAAAAAGAAATATGACTCAGATCGCCTCGGAGAAAAATTTGAAAGGTAAATATTCTGTTCTAGTTTTATATGAAAAAAAAATTAGATAAAGCATGTTATTTTTAACGATAATATTTTATCGTAAAGAAATGTTTACTTGGTATTTTTACGCAATCATGAAATAATTTTTTTAATAAATGTGGGAGAACGAAACCCTTCCATCGGGTATTTTATATATATACATATTGTGAGCCTTTACCAAGCGGGAAGGGATATTTAATATTAAATTAATAATGTAAACCTAATACAAATGGAGTAGAGACGTTTTAATGGTCTTAACCTTTCTCGAGCCCTGTCTTCGTGAACGGGGCTTACTTAGCTTATAAGGCCCTACCAACGACTTTCGAGCACGTAGTTTTCAATCTAAAAATGAAAAAACTAAAACTGACGTAAATATTCCTGGTAAAATCATTATTATTCAGCTATGCCTGCCGATAGTTCGTAGATCTGATGACGGCGCCGACCGAATAACAGCATTTTTTTATAGAATAAGGGTAACAAACGAGCACACAGTCTACCTGATGGTAAGTGACTACCGCTGCACATGACAACCGCAACACTAGGGGAATAATTGTGCTCGAGAAAAGGAGAATTGAACACTTTTCCTCCTCTTCTATAAAAAAAGCAAGATCTTACACACAAAAATTTATTGACATATTCAATGACAAGTGGAAGTCTAAGGATGACAGGGTATCTATCTAATGTTTTATTTGATGTACTGCATGACCGATATTCGTGGTGAATTTTAGTTACACTGATAGTGTGCGTATACTAATTATGTACTAGTGAACAAGGCGTAGTATGAGTAGGCGTAATAAGTTCCTTAGATATCAAATTAAAGTCCCTATTTTTCTACTCAGTGACCATCGTGGAGTTGGTAGCAGTGACACTTAGATGTTCGACTCCGTTGAAATTTTTTTTCTATGTCAAAGAGCTCTGCTATCATGCAAATATATCTCCTTTGTGATATCGCCTATTACCGTGTGACGAACTTGACAGATGAAACTTCCCGAACCTTTATTGTCCATGCAGCATGCTGGTTAGAAAGAGTCTTTCGAAAACCTTGAATATACTCAATATCAAGGACATTTCTCGGTAAGTTTTTGGGAGTAAATTTTTTTTCAAATGAAATTAACTTACACTCACTCACTCCTGTGGTGCAGCGAACCTGATTGGGTCTTGGCCTTCGACACAGGAACACACCTCTACACCTTGTCCCGCACAAATTCTCACGAGTAAAGCGCATGCAAGTCAGCTTCCACCCGGTCGCTCCACCGATATTTGGTCGTTGACCCTCTTATATTCGTTCTACATGACCGAGTCACTGGAGGCGATGTATTGTTATTTCTCCAATGATGTTTGGCTCGGACATTAGTTTTTCTTTTACGGTGTTTTTCCAGTGCTTCCAGCTACTATCTTCACTTCAAACGGGGACAAACATTCTTCTCAGGATCTTCCTCTCGACTACTAAAAGGTTGTTCTCTTCCTCCTGTGTAAGTGTGCCCTGTTTAAGTCTAGTAATAACCACAAAGTCATCTGTGAACTCTCCGCCTATTCTCACTCAGATGAAACTCTTACAGGTGGCCACTTCTATCATATCAACGAGTTTTGTCGGGATTTAAAATTCTTTTAAGATATTATAAATAACGCCTTTATCATTACGCCTATATCATGAGCCTTCGTAAACCACATGGATACTCTGTGTTGATTCCCACCTTTTTCCATGAGTTGTTTGAGTAGGAAAATCTGGTCAGCGATTTTGGCACAACTCACACTGATGACCGCTCAGTATTTTTTCCGCATAAGGCTCTAACATATTTAGGAGTACATATGAAAACACTTAATACCGTGGGTAAAAATAAGAAAAGATCTATTCCGCAATAGCTGATACAATCCCGCAATAGCCAATACAATTCTTTTCTGCATTTTTTGTAAAAGGGACAGATCCATATCCCAACCAGAAGTTCATACTTATTAGACTAAAGTATTTACTAACGCCAACGCCATTAACACCTGGCTTTGTTTAAGTAAAATTCATGAGAACTGAAAAGCAGTTTTCTCAATATTGTGGACCACATTATTTTTTATTGCGTGAGGGTGACAAACGAGCTCACAGTCCTCGAACACCAGTACTGATGGTAAGTGAATGCTATGGCCGTGGACATCTACATTTATCCTCAATCAATAATCAAAATACAGATACGTTGTCACCCCTGAGGACTAAAATGGAATGCTTTGTTTCTAATAAAAAAGGGTCTCCAGTTCTCTCACCTCCGAGGACTAAAATGGAATGCTTTGTTTCTAATAAAAAGGTTCTCCAGTTCTCTTAAGTGTAGAGACACTCGCTCGCGGAGAGCCGTGCTGCAGCTATATTAATTGTATAGTTATAGCTCGAATGGGTCGGCTCGACCGGGGAAGGACCACGCTCTCACAGAATACCAGCGTAAAATAACAGCTTAATGCTGCTGTGTATCGTATAGTGAGTGTAGAGAACTGGAGACCCTTTTTACTGGACAAGAGGCTGAGAACGCATCTACATTTTGATTCGCAAACGAGGACAAATGTAGATGTCTATGGGCCACAGCAACCACTTACCATCAGGTGGACTGTGTGCTCGCTTGTCATTCTTATCCTATAAAAAAATTCATCGTACAAAACACAGCAGTATTAAGCTGCTATTTTACGTTAGTATTTTGTGAAAGCGTGGTCCTTCCCCGGTTGAGCCGATCCATTCATGCTACAACTATAATATAGCTGCAGCTTGGCTCTACCACGTTAAAAAACGTTATACCTAGTATTTAGTTATTCAACGATATCACGGAGAATTCCATCAAACAGAGATAAAGATCTAATTGTGCACTTAATTTTCAATTACGTACTCACATCGTATAACTTCATGCTAATAGTAGTTGGTGAAATGATTGCTGTACGTATAAACATCTAATATATCTAACTGAAGAGCTTATTTCCTTATTACATAATGTGTACACAGTAATCAGTGTAACAGTTTAGTTAGTCATTTTGGCAACGTGGCAATCGAGATTGATTATACCTTTAATGGCCTTTGTTCTGAATATTTTAAGTTTGATAATTTTTGATGCTGCTCTAATAAATTTTCACTATCATTCTTTAAATTAATATTATCAGTTACCTTAATTAGCTCAACGGATTAGTAAGCTGAAGTGGCAATGGGCCGGCCATATAGTTCGAAGAACCGATAACCGATGGGGAAGAAAGGTTCTTGAGTGGTAGCCTATTACCGACAGGCGAAGTGCTAGGCGTCCCCCCACTAGATGGAGTGACGACCTGGTAAGACATGCAAGAATTCGATGGATGTTGGTGTTTCAGGACCGCAGCAGGACCTCCCATGTAGAGCAGTGGTCTTGTGAAGGGGTGTGAATGATGATAATGATGTTCAGTAGTTTTTGCGTGTCTTGAATACTCAGACAGACTGACTGACTGACTAAGGTTCGAGCCTGGACTTGTTTTTTCCCAAAAAATATTAGAATTAAAGAACATGACTGTCCTACAGATTTGTTATATGTATAGTTCCATTTCGATATTTACAAGATAATCGCTTTCAGTTTACACTTTTTTCTAAATTGTCGGGTTACTGGGTGCCCCCAGTATCTAACCTTGACGAAACTTTAATCACTTCATCGCTCGGTAGATGAAGACAGACGTACTAAAACTTTTATATGTAAAATAAACAATATAAGCAAATCCTGTTATTATTTTTAAAAAATAGCGGCTTATCTAACAATTTAGCTTACAATATTATCAAGTCTGCTGTTATCTTAACACTATATTTTGTGCGCTGCGGTGGCAGCCGCTGACAGTCACACATTATCAATTGAGTGTCGTTTGTTTTAAAAACAAGCCAGCTTTCTCTCAAAATTGTCTTCGAATTTCAATCGGTTTTTGATTTAAATTGATGTTATTTCAAACCTAATTTTTAAATTTTCTCGAACCATCGGTCACGGAACACGGTCGCACCGGCACGTCTGGTTATTTTTTATCCAGTCATATTTATTTTAGTAATAAAAATTTCACTTATTAAATATTTTATCACATTAAAAAAGATAAAATTATCAAGAAAAATTACAATTAGAAGCACCATTTGATTGTGCACTAGCTACTAAGTTCGAATGAAATTATTTTTTTTCGTTCAGAAGTCGATTCTGTCGGGTAGGCCTTCAGAGACTTACGTCGAAAAACTTGTTTTTGTAAGAAATGAAAATTTTTAAATAAATTAAACTTCAAGTCGGTGTAAGAATATCTACTACCCCGTATCGTCTCGAGGGAATCGTAAGAGTCGACAGAGGTAAAATGAAACAGAGATGAGCAACAGCATCTTCTTCATAACCCATCCATCCCAGCCACCATGCTTGCCAAGCTTGGCAAATTTGGCAAAATTCCCCCATGAGACAATCCATGAGGGCGGCCTACGTTGAGCAGTGTACTTTTATAGGCTGCAATGATGATGGTAAAAAGTAAAAGCCGACTTCAAAGATCTGAGAATGTCCTCAAAGCGACTGTATGTTGTTTATTTGTATGTTACTTTATATCTTCGCCAATTTTAAATTGATTTTCAATTATTCTTTTTATTTGATTATACTTACTTCAGGGGTGGCCCCATATATTTCTTTTATTGAAGTCGTCTAAAAATTGTGTTGAAGTTTTCTGAATCAGATATTTTGTCAAATTTGACAAAATATCTGATTCAGAAAATGGGTAATTACCCATAATGCAGTTTGCAGCGATTTAAAAAATGCACCTGTAATATCTATTTTAATTTGTAGGAAATGATAAATAACGTAATAATAGTACAGTGACTAGTGATTACGATCTAGGAAGTCAACAACTGAGTTTTTTGTATTTTTGTTAATCTCTTAGGATTACGTTTTATTAATAAAAAACATGGTTTCTGTAGCGTTTTTTATTTTACTATTGCTTTCATTTTCTTTACTAAATAGCAATAGAAAATACAGTTACAGATAAGTAAA